GTATGTTTTGTTTTGATTTTTTTTTTAAGATTTTAATTATTTATTCATGAGAGATAGAGAGAGAGAGGCAGAGGGAGAAGCAGGCTTCCCACGGAGCAGGGAGCCCGATGCGGGACTCGATCCCAGGACCCTGGAATCATGACCCGAGCCGAAGGCAGACGCCCAACCATCTGAGCCACCCAGGCGCCCTGTTTTGATTTTTTAATGAGTATTATGATCAGAAGAATATTACTCAAAACATTTTGATTATAGTGTACAAGATGTCTTGGGGAGGGCTGTCACCACAGTTGAGACCACTGGTGACAGAAATAGTAGATTTAAGAACAGAGAGGATTCATCTTGAGTGGTAGTGATGGGAATGAGAAATCTGAGATGCACTTGTAAGATATTTAAAAGCAAAAATAAGTAAGAACTGGTAAATATTTGGATGGAAGGATGGGGCAATTCAAAGAATATTCTGAAGCACCGGGAATTTGTTAAAAATGACAATACAATGAAAAGAAATTGAACTATGGGTTCTCCAGAGATATCCAGAGTTACCCATTTTGGGGAGAAGAATAGGGCCTTCGTAGAAAGAGATATACTAATTGTAAATATTAGCTGATAACTCAAGTGAAAGTCCAATAGTCAGTTACAAGTGTGTGACTACAATTTGTGCTAACTGTGGGCCTCTTGAGGACCAAGACTATTTGCTGTTCTTCTTTGAATCTCTCAGCACCCAGTACGGGGCCAGACACATAGTTTAACACTCAGTAAATGTGGCCCAGCTGGCTGATGAACTGCACAGAGTTTTGGGGGCCAACTTCACAAAGAAAATAATTAAATTCTGAGTGTGGACAAATAGGACCTTCAAGGGTAGGGTACAAAAAAAAGGAACTAAGAGGACAAAAATAGGAATAAAGGAATAAAGATGTTGAAGGAACTGGAAGGGAAAAAAAGAAACCAATAACAGAGACAGGGCAGATCAGGGAATTAAACTGAGAGAGAGAAAGAGAAGAAGGAAAGGGAAGGGTAGGGGACAGGGAGGGGAAGGGAGAGGTGACGGGGGGGGGGGGGGGGAGGAAAACAAGAATAGAATCAGAGGAGCCAGGGAAGAAGAGATGCTACTTATTGACAATTGGAAAGCATATATATAAATATATGCACTCAAATAGAGAATGCATGGATGCAAAAATTACAAAGTCACATTTAGTGAGCAGAAATGAAAATCATTAAAATGTTTCCTTAATAACTTAAAGTAAATAAATTAATAGCTCCTGTCATATTGATTCATCTATTGCATGTGGGCACTCAATAAATGTTAATTGAATTAAATTAATAACATTTGCTCAATGACAATAAAAAATTAACTGTCTTTTCTGTTACTTAAGTTTATGCCCATTGGTTCTGTAATTACTTCTAGCCCAAACATGAATTTTCTATTTCACTGACTTAAGATACACTTTAATTTTTTTCCCTAAGAAATAGAGTTGAGCTTCTAATTTTTGTCCTAATTTTGGTGTTTTTTTTCTGTTAAAAAATTATTTTCTCTAAGTTAATGTCAAGAACTATGTATAACATCCCAAATATAGTTTCACGAATTCCTTATTTAATTCCAAAATCGTTTTCTCTGCAGGAGATGTGATACCACTTTTTATATGTTTCTCCTTTTAGCCTATGCTACTTTATAATACTTGGGATACAATGTCAAATAACACCGCAAAAGAGGAATCTGGGGAAATTTATTGATAGCTTTCCATCTATAAAAGATGGAAGATGTCAGTAACATTCACCCAAAAATTGTGACTCACTTCAGATGTCAGAATTCTGGGTTGAACAGACTGGGGTCTGAAATGTGTGCATGTCAGATGATTTTTCTAATGAGCAACAGATAGTTCCCACTGGGGAATGAAAAAAAAATAAAAAATATAAACAGAGATAGAGAATTAAAATAACTTTATGAATGGCAGTTTAACTTCTCCACAAAATTCTCTCAGTACAATCCCAGTGACTCCAAATGGTTGCTTAATGTAGCACACCACTTAGATTCAAAATGCTATACTTAAAATTGTCGCAAAATTAAAAAGAGAATCATATACCACTTGGCTGTATACAGTATTCTCCGCATGTTCTTACATTCCAGTAACCTCTATCCAACATTTTTTTTTGTTACTGAATTACTTTGTGCAAAAGCAATTTAAATTACATGCAGCCTGACTACGTGTGATAATTTGAACTGATTGTTAATTAATTCCGTAAGTAAATAGCTGCCGCAATCTCTATACTCATCAAGGTTTCGTTATCTACCAGCTCTTTCTGAGCTGCTCTTTAATGTACAGTATAAAGCAGCTGTAACTGAAGATGCAGGATTCCCTGAGTGTGCAAGAAGGTAGTCCTGCTTTGCAGAGACTGCTCAGGGACAGAGGCATCTGGAAAGCTAAGTAATCTGCTAGACTAGATTTTGGGTAGGTGACACATCATGCGTGGGATTCAGGGTTCAGAGGGGTTTGCTGATGTGCGGTCTCAGCAGCTAGGAAGCAGAGATAAAAGCTAAGAATCAGAGTCTATTACAGAGACAAGGATGAGAGCTGAGCTTTGGGAATACACCAGGCCTGGATTCAAATCCTAGTTCTATCATTTGCTAATGAGGACCACTGGGACAACTTATCTAAATAAACTAAGTTTTGGTTGCACTCCCTCATCTGTTAATGGGGGATACTAGTTACTCTCCTCTGTTCAGGGAGGCTGACAATATCTACCTCCTGGAGTCTTTGTGATGCTTCAGGTAAATACGGTATGTAAGTGCTAATATGGAACCTGATGTAAAAGGCATGCGACATGCTATGGTGTATGTGGGTGTGTATATAAAGCAGTGGCTTGGATTTCCACCCTAGGTGACTTTGCCCCGGAGGGGAAATTAGGCAATATCTGCAGACAGTTTTGTGTGCCACAACCTAGGACAATGGGTGCTACTGGCATCTGGTAGGTAGAGGACAGGGATGCTGTAAACATCCTACGATCTCCCCATGACAAAGAATTATCTGTCTCCTAATATCAATACTGCTCCAAGTGTTCTAAGGCATAATTTGAATGGCTATCTGTTTGTAATATTAGCTAGCTGTTGGACACTTCGATACTCCAGAAAAATAAACCATTATTTTTATATCATCATCATTACAACACTAATTTGGTGAATCTCTCTGGGACTAGAGGAAGCCTAGGGTTTCCCAATCGGTTGAGCTAATTCCATCTAGTCACTATTACATTAATTGCTATCAATGATCGATGTTTTCATGAACCCTAATTTCCACCAGTCCAGTTTAGAGTGAATCAAACCACAACCAAGAGATTTAAAGCCAGCAACATAAGGGGTAGGGAATAAAAAGCAAACCTCGTTGAAAGCCAAGGCTGTTTGGAGGCTGAGAAAGAAACAAGACAATGGCGTGTTCCGGACTGACAGTTCCCATGCCAGTCAGGAGCCTGTGCAGCCTCATGTAGGGAGCTTCACAAATCCCCCAGGGGCTGGGAGCTAATCTGCTGAGGGGTGGGAGGGGTTGCCTGAGCTTGAAGAAATCCCAAAGTTTTAAAAGATTTCCCAGGTTATTTTACTCTTTAGACAAGTCTGGGAACCACTGACCCAGGAGATAGGACCCAGTAGAGATCTCCATCTGCCTGAAACAAAGAAGCATTTGGAAAAGGTGATGAAAATGGATGTTGGCCACTCGTTGTAAGCATGGTAAAAAGCAGGTTGCGAGCAGTAGAATTTATTCTAGACACTCAATGAGCATTATTGGATCAACCAGGCCTTGGGTTAGCCACAAGAATGCAAGTCTCCAGAATGCATCTTCACCATCTCCCAGTAGGGCTGCCAAATGACCCGGACTGGTGTTTGTGAAGGGCTTAAGGTGTCCCTAGGAACCAGCTGGTCTGCATGTTTGAGAATACCTTCTATTAACTCTTTTCTCGATCTTAGGATTCTGTGTAATGGGTATAGGTAAGTTATGGCCGAGACTGGTTATGTCTCAGACTCTAACATGATTTCATGATATGTTGCTCTGTCATACACTCCTCAATATTGTGACTTAGTTATTTCTTTGCTAACTCCTTTGATGCTTGTGGAAACTGGGGTCCATGCTGGTCTTAGGCGCTACTGCATCCCCCGTGCCCAGCCCAGTGCTTCTTACATAACAGACCCATATATGATTATGTGAGAATGAATGAATGAATGAATGAATGAATGAATGAATGAATGAATGAATATGGGAGCTCTAAAAGACATGAGGCACCTCGGCCTTCTTGGTCTTTTCTATGCCTCTCCAAACCAGAATCTCAAGGGTCAAGGATTTTGCCGGAGGTTCCCTTCCAGGTGGTTATATGGAAATAAAATATATTCCAAAAAGCACACCCTCAAAAGCCATATCAACACTCACCTGAATAGGATCCTCACAAATGCTAAGGCAGGGAAAGGGGTGGCAACAGAAAGTCTCTAAGGCTAGAAACAGATATGAGCTGATAGAGGTTCATTTATAACCACTCCTCTTATGCAGAGGAGGAAACTGAGGTTTGTAGAACCAAAGAAATAAAAACAACTTGATTGAGATCACATACATTATTGAGCAGCACTGTCCAGCATTTAAGACCCTTTTACTGCTTCTGGGATCCAGACCATAAGCTGACAACAAACTATGAGATCTCATTGATGCAAGTGAATGAATTATTTGTTTCTCTCCACTCATCACCTTAAAAAAAAAAAAAAACCACATAGTAGAAATAAGTGTTACAAATTACTGTGATAGGGAAACTTGCACTGTGTGTAAAATTTTACAATTATTGCACTTTTTAATTCTTACTTATATTTTTATTCAAAATGATTCCGTTCAATGATGCTTCGTTCTCTTAAATAAGACCTTATTCTCACAAAAGTCTTGAGTGTGAAACTTTCTGCAAGTGTCCATTCTGAGATCACTAGGTCATGTCAACTATAGTGGGTTTGTGTATGTGTGTTTTCTTTTTTCATCTAGATACGCAACTCACAAATGAAAAGCATGCAGACGAGAAACCCATTAATGCTATCATTATAAATTCAGTATCCGAATTCAATATCACAGATGGACCAGCCAAGGAAACCCCCAGTGAGAAAAAACTGTCAGAATCCAGCACATCACTGTCCTCCCTTGAAGAATGCCAAACGAAATTTTCCTACCTCCAAACTGATACTTCAGTTCATCAGAGAGACACTGATGGTACGTTTCTCAGAATCAACCCATCTCTAAATAAAGCTCCCCAACCCCCAGCCCCTGTAAAATCATCACATATGCTGTTAGAAAAAAAGAGCCTTTATGAATATTAAACAGTAAGACTTTGATTTGAAAACCCTGGTGAATGACACATGTCAAGGTCACTCTGCAATTATGAGGTGCTTGGCAGATTGTTTGCTCTCAAAGCTGGAAATCAGAGGCAAAGTGTTTTAAATAGCTGGAATGAGGTATAATCATTCTTGCTACGGAGCTATGAAGGGGATAAAGAAAAACGGCAAACTTTTCTCAACTCTGAGACTATTTCAGCCCGTGATGCTAGGCTGAGAGAAGAAGGCAGAGTAGAATGGTATTAAAATGCTGGAAATGTATAAATGTGGATTGTAAAAAATATCAAGATGCTTACATCAGCAACCAGGGTTGGTTCCTCTAGGTGATATCACCTCCTGGGCATTCTGATCAGTGCCAACCTACACCCAACCACCCCTGTATATGACTATAAAAGGACCATTCCTTCTGCGAAGCCAATTTCAAGTTTATTTGGTTCTAAATGGTCATCACAGTCAAGTTCAAAGTCAAGCACTCCACACCAAGACGTATGTAATTTTACTCAGGTTGCCTTTGCAGTGTCCTTTACAGGACACCCAAACCATTCAAGAATTTTGTAGTGTTCCATATCTGCATTTGCATTTAAAGAAAGCTTGCAGTGTCTCAAAGGAAAATATAAGAGGGTATAGTTTCTAGTCTATATTTAAATTAATATTTACTTTTTGAAAACAAGGAAAAAATAAATAAATGGACTTTTGTGTAACAGGAGCTCTGGAATCACATCAGTTTAATTCCTGGCTCTGAAATTTATTAACCGTATAAACCTGGATAAGTTTTTACCATCTCTGAATCTCAGTCTTTCAGTTATATAATGGAGCTAGGGTGTTTTGAAGACCAAATGAAATAACATGTACAAAGGATCCAATACAGGACCTGGCACGTCATAGGTGTTTGATTTTTGCTTTCATTATGGTTATGGTTTTAGAAAGCAAGGGGAGAAATTTATAACATGCATTCCTTATGATCTTGTGCAAACATGTCATGGCTGCTTTAGACCAGAAGCTACAGACACAATTGCTTGCAGGTGCCAGGGGATGATGTGAATAATGAGTTAGAATGGCAGTGAGCAACAGGGATTGGTGAGGACTGGGGCACAGTGAAGCATCCTGCTGCTACTCTGCTCCAGCTAATTGTTGCCAGAAGGAAATAAAAGCTCAGAGTTGCCAGCTCCAGAGTGTTATGTGAAACTGCCAAATTTTTTAGGTGTTGACAATACTTCTATTTCTTCTATGAAGCCCCAGACACTCCCAACAATACACAGCTTGGGGCCAACTTTGGCCAGTGGACTGCCAGGTTACAACCTCAAATTCAAGATGACGCCCATGTTTCCGGCTTTGCTGGAGTTTGATGCCAATCGAGAAAACAGGCAATACAGGAGAGTTCTTTGAGACACTAGAAAGCACGGTGACACTAGAGCATTTCGTCGGATTGTCTCAGGGATGCATGTAAGAGATCTTGGTTGTCATGACCCACGAATTAGGTGCTGCCATTGTACAAATCCATCTGGTACAACACAGTACCCTCTAGAACAACTCTGATTTGTCCTAGCAGGGATTCAGGGAGAAGGAGAAGGGCTGGTGCAGCTAACATGATACCTGAACCCTTGTATTCTCAGGGAAGGGCCAAAGGACCACTCCATTAAAATGGCAACTGATACTCAGGAGCCTCATGCAGGAAATGCACCACTTACTGTTTTTTTCAAAAGAGCAAAGGAGATTCACAAGGACAGTTGACTTAGACTGTTTTTCGTAAGCCCTGGCTGGGAGGCCGGGACAGCCCGGGAAATCATGATTTTAGGCTGACAACACAGGTAAAAGCCCACCGCTCCCTTCCCAAATGGTGAAAAAAGTCCCCCCATTGAGGTGAGAGTTTTGGGTACCTGGATAAAAGAGAGAGCAAAACATCCAAACGAAGGCCCACGAGTGTGGATAAGACGCTCTCATTATCTTAAACAGCAAACATCAAGGATATCAAGAGTTAAGTCAGAGAATTTTTATAGTAATTAATTTAAGGATGCAGAAATTGAGAGCTGGGGTCATTGTTCGTACTGAGATAAATACAGAAATATCTTTCAGGAACAGCAGGGGAAACAGAAGGGAAAAGAGAAGATTGCATCCACTTTCATGTAGTTTGTGGTTAATTTATTTTCAAATGTATAAATGAGTGCATAGGAATGGATGCTTAATTGCTAATATCTATTATTTATATACATTGCCCCACTTAAAACAGAATGGAAAAGCCTCACACATGCAGATTTTGTAAAATGTGTTACATCCATTAGCACAGTTCATGGTGTGTGCTCTGATGGGAATTTAAAAGGATCTTTACTGCACATCACACACTATGTGCTGCAACATTACTTTATTATTAAATTGTGGCTCATCCTGTGTGGTCCCTTTCCCGAATAAAATGTAAAAAGTCCAGAGCACTACCTGTGTCTCTGCTTCTGTTGCTACATTCTGATTGCAAAGGCATCCCTGTGAGTAATAAAATCAAGGATACACACAATGCTCGAAAACAGGTGCCTTAAAAAGAAGCCTGAGAATATACCTAATTGATGTATAATTTTGAATTTGAGACGTCTCATCCAGGTGGAAGAGGAAAATCATAAATATAAGATACCTCAAAAGAATAGTCTTAATTACACCATGGACTACTGAATAAAATGATTACATTTTCTACACTGTAAATTTCATACAATTAAATGCAGTAGTGTCACCTTATAAAATGTTTCAATTTTATAATTATTTCAGTTCATTTGCTCAGAAAAAAAAACATAAGCACAAATTTACTAAGTATCACCCAAATCTAGTCATCCTCATTCTAAAGAACTGACTTGAACGTTAGTTGTGCTTGTCTGAACTTAAATAGATCTTGACATATTTAAGTAGCTATTAAAATTGATAACATCAGGGATGATACCCCAGCTAGAGAAAGGCATTCAGTCACACTTTATTTATTCCTATTCTACATTACAGACTTAAAAAAAAAGAACTCAATGTTGGAGGAGTGGGAGCCAATTTTTATACTTTTTGACCAGAAACTTGGAGTAATTAGCTGGAGTCACTGTGTCACGAATCTCATGATTCTGCTGAATCTGCTGGGAGAGCACGTTAACCATTAACATATTAGGATACTGGGTTTGGGTCATGTTTATTTGCCATTATTATTATTATTATTATTATTATTATTATTATTATTACTTTGTTTGGAGGGGAGGGGGATTTTTGCTTATCTGGGGCCAATTTTGGAGGAACTACATTCTTGCTATTTTGAATAGTGATGCCCAAACGAGGAGGTGGTATGTGTCCGGAGCTGAGGAAAGCTATAAGAACTCCAGTGGGCAGCTAAATCTGCCTCTGCCCCTCCCTCCTCTTAATCCCAGGCATCGTGGTGACAGGATCCAAAGCTGGGAGGGCGAACCCAGGGAGTACAGGACCGTGACCGTGAGGCTGACCTCAGGCACACTGGTGGGAGCCCCTTGCATTGTTACCTTTTCCACTATGATTAAACATGATCCTTTCTAATGAGACAGATTCTCCCCTTAATTAGCCAGTCCCCAGCTGTACATTTAGCACCTCTAGAGGCTGTATTAATCCTTCAGTATCATTAGGGTATCACTTAGCACATTATAGCCTCGATGTCCTAAAGGTACCCTAGAGCTGCAAAAAGGAAATGAAACAACCTAAGGGGGTTTTCGTCATGGCTTCTTGCTCACAGTCAAATACCTCTTTTGGCCGCTTGGCCTGCAAGTCTTGGCTCCCTCTTGAACCTTCTCTGATCCAGGTTTAACAAGGCAAGAGGAGGGAAAGAGAGATGGACACTCCGAGAGGCCAGGATGCCAGGGTCAATAAAGGGACTTCAACATGCAGAGAACTCCTTACAAAAATGTTGGAAGAGGTGAAAAGCCACGTAAGGGAACAGTGAAGCCACCCAGACCTTAGCAACAAAGATCTGCCACGTCTTCCCTGGCCCCTCCAGGTCACTAGTAGAGGACTCGTCCTGGCCTTTGCTCTAGGCCACTAGGAACTTACCATTACTAGACAGACCACCAGCAAGTGGCATCAACAAGAGCTGCAGAAAGAAGGATGTTCAGAAAGGGGTAAAACCCAGGGGAAGATCCAGGTACTGCCTGAGACACCACTCAAAGCAGAGAGAGCGGAAGAGAAACACCTGGCATTCCCTTCTTCCCACCCTCCCATTTCCTGCCACTGCTTTGACAGAACCTGGAGGATAGATGTTAGCAGCCTGGGGGATACAGAGCGGAGCAGGGAGTGAGCTGGCCGCGTCCTGCGCCATACTGGATTTTGACAAAGGAAGTGTGAGCCTTCTGAAGGACAGGCCAGCTGCAGGATTCAGAGCTCTGGAAGGGACAGTTTGAGTCAAATCATGGCTGCTCCATTTCCTGTGCTTCTTAAATTCCCTGAGCCACAGTTTTCCTCATCTATATAAGGACAAGGATAGTACTCACCTCAGGCTTATTTCAGGAACTATGTGAGGTGCCTACAAAGTGCATCCTTGCCATGGCCTGTGTGATAGGTTCCTGCCTGTTTTTCTGGCTTCCCACCCTCTGTCCTCCTTGCTCATTGTGCTCCAGCCACTGGAGCAGGACCACACATTTGCTCCCAATGTAACACCAGCTAAGAGAGCACAGACTTTGGATCCAGAAAGATTGAGATCTGAACCTCCTCCCCACCCCCAAGCACCTTACAGTTGAAAGATTCAGGACAATCAGGGACAATCCCTGAGCCTTAGTCCTTTCATCTACAAAATGAGGACCACTTTATTTGTCTCCCATCATTCATTTATTCATTCATTCACTCAACAACAGATACAGCTTTCTTGGAGCTCAGGTTCTAGTAGAGGGAGAAACTCACTAATAAACTAATTAGCTTCATATCATCCTATCATCAGTACCATGAAGAAAAAATAGAATGCTATGAGAGTTTCATGGCATGTAGAAAAATGATGTCTTAAGCTAAAGGCTCAGAGGTTGAGTAGGAATCGGGTCACGCTGTGAAGGGAAAGTATGGAACACAGGCCAAAGGGAGAGCATGGGCAAAGGCTCTCAGGTGGGGCATCTCAGGATCTGAAGCTGAACCAGTGTGGCTGGAGTGCAGTGAGCAAGGAGGACAGAGGGTGGGAAGCCAGAAAAACAGGCAGGAACCTATCACACAGGCCATGGCAAGGATGTGGGACTTTAAGGGGAGAGTGAGTTCTTCCCATCTACAATGAAAAACATCACAGGAGCTGATGAATTTGAGCTGGGCTCGTGTAAAAGCAATGTGTTAGATGGGAGCCTATTGCTGTTGACCTGACGACGGCTGATAGTGGCCGGAACTAAGGGGGTGGCCCTAGAGGTGGGTAGAGGCTTCTGGTTTTCACATACCAACTTGAGACAGAATGAGCAGAACCTCAGCAAGGAACTGGAGGGAGGACGGTGGTATGATGGGGAAAAGGAAAATGACAAGAATGAGTCCCAGCTTTCTGCTGATTTCATCTGAGTATGCAGGAGCCATTCACAAGAGAAAGCCAGAGGAAGGACAGGTGTGTGGAATGGGGAAAGAGGGAGATCTGGATATAATTTGGCCTCGGTAAGTGGGAGATATCTTGAAGACATTGGTGAAGAGAAGAGACACGAAATGGGCAGATGGAAGCATAGCGTACTCTTTTGGATGGCTGACAGTAGGGTGCTAATCATGGGCTATGACTTTAGAAATCATGTTTATTAAACATGGAAGCCCCAAGAAATTATGCAGGCAAAGGAAAACACACCCATTCAGGAATAGGGGACACTCAACTCTCTTTTCAAACAGTTGCAAATTTCCCCCCAGAACTGCTTATGTTACTTTTGTGCAAACAAAATTTGCCCATATGCAAAATAGTTTCGGCTGTCCGTGTAGAGTTATGTAATATGCCTTTTAGGAAAAGTTTTCAATGCTCTTGAAAGTTCGGAAAAATCTGTTTTCAATTCACCAATGTTGCCATGTTTTTTTGGGCAAGAGGCTCTGCCTTTTATAACCAAATAAAAAGGACTGACTTATACACAGAGAGAGAGAAAAAAAAAAAAAAAAGAGCTCTTCTATTCTCAAATGCAAAATAGAGAGGTAGAAGGAAACAAATGCCAGTTTGGCTGAAGGATTAGCGTGTGTGTGTGTGTGTAATTTTGTGTGTGTGTGTAAATAAAATCTACGGTGTACATCAGAAGCAGAGACCTCCAGAATCTGCCAGCTTGAGAAAACAATGGCAAGAGGAATTAAACCAAAAGATTATATGTCCTCAGGAAAGAATAAGTCCATTTCACAAATAGGTATTTCACACTTCGATAGGAAACACCAGCTCCCACCCTAACCTGCCTGCAAACCAAACTTTCAGCCTCACATCTCCATCTACAAAGGATGCGATCCCACTGGATCATTTTTATATGATCATAGTCTGAGTCAGTCTTTTGAGCCTCCAGCCTGGGGGCTATGGAACATTTGCTTGGAATATTTTCTACTGAGAACTTCTTCTTTGCTGGGGGCTGCTAGAGTAGCCTTCTTGGCATTAGTAAAAGTTGATGAGGTTTTTTGCTCCGTACCTTTAACCACCAACACACCCTCTTCAGAAATGCATACATGAAATAGAGTCTAGGTACTGTGCTAACTAACTCCTGAATTTTTGTGGGTGGTTTGTGGTGACTTATATGGGTGAGTTAGCCACATGCTAGAAGCTGGCTCTGAGTGAATAAAAAAATACATCCTTTCTGGCAAAGAGATGAGTACATACGCCCTAGAGGTATTATGGGATACGCTGCCTACACTACTAAGAAATACTTAGTAATGGCCACAGCACCTGCAACAATATATGGCAATTAAAGTCATCATAAAAGTCATGGTGAGGTTTTTACCACCGTCTTATTGGGAAGAAAAAAAAAAAAAGGAGGGTGTGAGGCAGGGATAGAGGGTGGGATGGAGGCAGGAAGGAAGATTTTTGTTTACTTATATGCCAGGTCACTTCACACATTTATATGAGGATTTTAAAAGAAATCTTCAAAATATTTGTTCCCTTTTAGAGCAAGTTTCCATGTTCTCCCTCCTCTTACACATTAACAAATAGATGAATAACAAAAGTAAAAAAGTTTTCTGGAAAGCATTGTTGGAAGTAAATGAACAGGGCTCTAGGAATACTCAGAACCCTTTAGCAGATGACTCCAGGAGCAAAATCTCTCCTGCAGGCTTGTATAGTTTCAGCCAGCTAAAGTCTGAAAACCAAAAGTTATTAACATTAACATTCTTGGTGAAAAGAATAATAAATCTCTATGAAAATCTAACTTTGATTGATAAACCCATCAGGAGGAAGAATTTTTCTCCAATTAATGCCAGATTGTTACTTTCAATCATCAACAATCTTCAGGATACTGACTTTAATTAATTAGATGATGTCTCATGTAAACGCTTACCTACCCAGTTAAAAAATGCTCACATGTTTTTGAGAACTTTTTGACTAAAAAAAAAAAGTTAAAATTTTAACAAGAGAGCTGCTACATCTTCTAACTAATTCCCTTTATGGAAACAAAAAAATAAAATAATTTATAACCCAACACAGCTGTTTGGCTAAAATTACCAATTACCTTCAATACCTTAGAGATACTTTTCAGATTTTCACAAGTCTGCGTAGTAAATTTTTAAACCAATTTTCTTAAAGAGGATTGAGAAGATTTCTACTCTTTTAGGCATATGATGACGTATTCCATTTAACATGAATATAAAATCAAGGCTTCACAGTAACTGGAGGACAAAGGATACAGGGATTCAAAATAAAATACAACTAACATCAAAACTACGATTATTTAAAAATCATTTATATTAGGTCTTTGGCTTGCATGTGAATATGGGTGTGGTGGATTTCTGGGAATCCACACCATACAAATGACAAAGCCTTGGGACAAGAAACTGGAAGTTTGTACAGTCTCTCCTTGTCCCCAACCCTAATTGCTACCGAAAGCTCTCTGCACTTGGGGAGGACCTGCTATTTTTCAGACAGTTGCAAGGTTTCCAAATAGATAGCTAATTGTGTGCCTTCCCAGCACCTCTGCAGGCAAAGTAAATAAAGGAGTTTAGAAAAGTGACAGCACTTTAAATAACCAGATTATGTGGAATCAATAGAAATGCTCAGGAAGTTAAGAAAGCAATTGCTTAAATAGAGTGAGTCCTGCATGGGGGGTGGGGAAGCTTGAGAGAATCATGGCGTACATCACCCCTAATATGGACAATTAAGAGTTGGCCCATAAAGTTATCAAGAACACCACCTTACACGCCTGTCCTTCAGAGATGCCTCCAATCATTAGGTGCCACTAATCATTTTTTGTCTTCTTCTTCCTTAAACAGAGGAGTGTGCCTCCCTTATCCTCACCTGTCTGTTTTGCCAGTTTTGGGACTGTCTCCTGATGCTCCCAGATACTTGTGAAATGGTGTGTACCAACCTGTGCTGCCCCTCTCACGGATATCACCACACCTCGGATGAAAGTCACGCTTGGAATGATTGCAACTGCAACTGTGACGTGGACTGCAGCCTGTTTGAATCTTGCCACGAGACCAGCGAGTGTCTGGAGCTGGCCATGGAGATTTCGGAAATCTGTTACCGTTAGCACAGCGAAGTTAACCACATCCCAGCAGACCCTTTGGCCCCACAGGGAAATTCCATGACAATAAGACTGTGATTTCTATGTGCCGAAATGTAAGGACTGTACACATTTCTTGGATGCTATCGACCATTTTATTCTGCACCTGTCTGGGAAAGCCAGTACTGTCAATTCTATGGTCTTAGTCCAAATTTCATAACAGCATGGCTCGCTGAAAAATAAGATCTTGATCACATGTGATGAACAAATCCTAAATACCTCTTAAATGCCATAGGTACAAGGTGTGTCTTGACTCTAAAAAAAAAAAAGCATGCTAAACCACTCTGTGTTATTGCATTCATTGGCTTGCATCATGGATTCAACTTCATTCACAAATTCAGGACAAATTAGTGCATTCTTTTAGAATTGACATATATTAGTTCATCTTTGTAATAGACTCATGCATAAACATTATGCATTGTTGGCTATTATTAATAATGTATTGTATAACATCATTTTGTAATTAAAAATTTATATACATTCTCTTAAAATTCACTTATATGTACAGTTTAGGTAGAAAAGGGAATTAAATGAATTAGAAACCATGTTCCTGTAATTACAACAGATGTCTCTAAGACATCTCCAGTGAATTTTGAATATGATGTACTTTGAGAGAGTACTGTAATTCTAGACAATATTATTATACGTCTATGACTATGCCATAACAGGTTATGCATGTTCTTAATTTGTTACAGAAATGCTCTTCTTTATTCCAATGAGCATAAATGGGAATAATATGCAAGTTTCAAGAAAATGGCCCCAGATAATCAATTCTTCATTTTCCTCATTTCTGTTTGTCAGGTACAATAAGCAACAGGATATTAAAACAGAATCATGTCATTTCACTAAACTATCACTTATATAGGAACCAAAAAGAAATACATGTTTAGGTACTTATTCAGCACCTAGTTTCCTAATAAAGCATGCGCTTCAGAAATCATATTTTTTTCTTTTCTGATAATTACAGTAATTCATAATTATGCTGAGTACCTCCTCATACTTACAAAAAAAAATGTTAAAGATGTGGTATCAACTTGGAAAGTGATTTTCAACTCAAACAGATTAAAACAAACCATTTTGGGGGAAAACACATTTAGGTTGGTGTTACTTTAGAATCTTTACTTTCAGTAGGCATGGCATTGCTCATTAATGTGTGCTTATATATTCCCATGGAGATACCTCAGAATATTCACTGAATATACATATATATGTGTGTGTGTGTGTGTGTGTGTGTATACAACAAAGAACACAAAAGTGAAGTAAAGAGTAGAGGGAACTTTCTGCAATCTAGTCAAACAGCAAAAAATTCCAAAACACCCGCTTTTGCCCAACTTAGGTAATTTCAGGCAAAAGCAACATTCGTTTTGTTTCTGTAGTAAACTAGCACATTTTTCTACTCTGCAAAAAAAGTCCTCCAAACATTGAAAACAATTAATCTTTAAAAAATGTCTTTAAGCTGCCTGTAGAAAGGTATTTAACTGCTCCTGTCTTGTCCTGACAACACAGTGCATGCACGGTTAATGCAGCTTCGTTCCTCTTTGACAATCACCTTATCCACAAACCACAGAGCATGACAGTGCCCTACACTGCTTAGGAAACACTTCAGTCTCTGTTTTTCAGAAGTTCAAGGACAGCTCTATACTCTGTGCATAGAACCTGCAGCTCATTCATGGAGGAAAAGAAATCGATTCTTAGACTAGGAAGGGAACCTAGGACAATTCCAATCCAATATTCTCATTCTCCATAAGAGAAAATGGAAGCCCCAAGAACTAACTTATCCAAGACCACACAGTAAGTTAATGAAACTGTTAAGAACTCTAACTGGTGGTCTAATTTTCTAACTACACTGCACCACCTGATAGTTCTGCACTTCTGAGTCCAGCTGGTACACAGTGATACAGCTGTTTCAATGGTTCAAATATTAAAATACTACCAGACTGGCTCATAAACAGTTGTTACCTTGTACCTCCTTAGTGTTTCCTCTATGCCCCCAGGCACCCTGGCCCCTCTCCAAGCGCCCGCCCCACCTCCCCATGGTCCAGCCACTAAAAGAACACGTGGAACTGCAGGGTCTCTGGGATCCTGTCCCAATAAGATGGTACCTGGTGTCACTGATTTGGCCATGTCGTACTCGTGTTCAATATTTTGACCATCATCACTTATTCTTTCCAGTCTACGTACCCTTAAATTGTGCAGAGATTGCATTTCAAATGCGAATCGAATGCTTGTCAATTAGAGACATAAAAATTGCCAGGTCTGATTTTATAATGTGGTCAGAATACTACAAGATTTTTCTGTGGTCTCTCCACGGTTAGTTAACTTGTTCCTCACTTTCAGAATTCACCATGCTATAACAGAAAGTATGAAATTTCTTTTCTTTATAACCAATAATAAAACATCATCCTTTTTGCAAACACGAATGGCTCCTTCAATTGAATTCTTACAATAAAACATACGCAGGTGGGAAAATGCACTTGCAGAGGTAAGACAGATGAAAAAGGAATGTGGTTATTGATTAAATACAGGTATCAGAATCTGAGAAGGCTCGGATTTTTTTCTATAATGATGAAGGCCTGTGATTACAAATAAAGACAATGGGCTTCTTAGGGAACAGAGTATTCCTATGTAAGGCAACACATTAGATAAAAATGATTTGAAAACAAACCACATTTATAGGGAATCGAGAACAGAGACTTCTTCCCCACCCCCACCCCCAGCACTATAACAAGATAGTTACATTGTCTTTGCTATGCTCAATGGATTTTTATAAAACCATTGCTTCTCTAAAAGCCTACAAAATATGGAAAGCAAGGAAGAAACAAAGTTACATTTAACTTGCTAATGAAATCTCACTACATAAGCTGATGGGCCTACAAAATTAATTATCGATGCTGGACAAAGTTAATAAAGCAAAAGTCACTTCATTTTTTTCCAAGGAAGTAAGAAAACATTCAGGCAGAGGAATGTTACCAACAGGAAACATCACTTGAAGGCGTATCAGCATGTTTTTCAAAAATAAATGTATAGGTGGAAATGTCTGAAGGACAGAATTCATTATCCAATGTCTCCAAATTCCTCTCTCTACAAAATGGAGCTAAGGAATAATATGTACCCTTAAGTAAGGTAGTTTGACTATAAGAGTTTTGCCCATCACATGGGGAGTTCACCGAGCCACATAAACTGATGACCTGTGATAAAATTTAAGTACTTGGTTTAATCATTTGCTGGGCATTCTCTGAAGAAGGGATCAGAGCTAAAACCTAAAGAGTTGCCATACATGGCCTCATGTGATCTGTGTGGACAGGCAAAGTCAATACACCAGGATTGTCTAGTGATTATAATCAACATGGAACTAAAATTTGTTGTTAGGTTCCTCTGAATAGGTCCAGATAGCCCCTAACATTACTGGGAAAGAGCCCAAACTGTGGGGATAGGGGGAGGAATGAAGACAGAGGAAGGACCTGCATCATTTTTTGGATATACAGTTGACTCTTGAACAATGCAAGGGTTAGGGGCCCTGAGCCCCTGCCCAGTCGAAAATCCTCATATAACTTCTGATTTCCCCCAAGCTTTAACTACTAATAACTTACTGTTGACCTTACCGATCACATCAACAGTTGACTAATACATATTTTGTATATGGATGATGTACTGTATTCTTATAATAAAGTAAGCTAGAGAAGAGAAAATGTTACTAAGACAATCATAAGGAAAAGAAAAATATATTTACAGTAGGGTGCTGTATTTTTACAGTACAGCACTGTATCTGTTGGAAAAAAAAAAAATCCACGGAGGAGTGGACCCTCACAGTTCAAACCTGTGTTGTTCAAGGAGCAACCTTAAGTGCCACCTTCTGGTCTACCATCTTGACATGCTTCACAGACCTGCTTGTGCCTCTATCTCTAAAGCAGTGTTTCTCCATTAGGGGTGGTTTTACCCCACCCCACCCCACCGCCCCACCAAGAGACATTTGGCAATGTCTGGAGACATATTAGGTTGTCACAATGGAAGCAGGAGCAATTCTACTAGCATTTAGTGGGTAGAAGCTAGAAATGCTACTAAACATTCCACAACACACAGGACACCTCCCACAACAAAGAAAGAGCTCTGAAAGCCTTCTTTTCAGTCTCAGTGAACCATCACCAAACTGACTGCAAAACATGGCTAGAAATAGAATTGCCAGCTAACCCGGAGGATGCCCAGTTCCTTTCAAATTTCAGATAAACAACAAATAATGCTTTAGTACAAGCATGTCCCGAATACGGCATGTGACACACTTCTACTACACAAATGATTCCTGGCTTATCTGAAATTCAAATTTAGCTGGTTGTCCTATATTTCTATTTGCTAAGTCTAGCAGCCCTAGTTCAAAAGACTCCACATTTTGAAAGGGCTCTCTAGAAGGAATGATTTTCCAGCTCCCTCCCTGTCTCCGAGAGAGGAATTGTTTATCTCTTTGGTCAGAGGCCAGGACATTCATTGGACCCCATTTTACAATGTGGTATAATTTAGGTCAGGGAGCTTGGCTTAAAGATCAGCTCTAAAGAAGGACACTCATTTACCCTTCTGTCCCAGGCTTGCACTATGACCTTTGACTAAGCTGACCTCCTCTTATTCTCTCTGCTTCACATTTCTGAGAAAGGACCTCAGCGGAGGGGTATCTGGATTCAAGGGGTAGAAAGCAGTAGTCTACTTAAACCTTGATAACTAAACCACATTTTCTGGTTCAGTCTTGGCCAGAAAGACCCTTCTTGACTGGTGTCTGCACACCTATAAGGGAGTATTTTTTCCCTATCTAGTTATTTTCCTTTCTGTATTGCTTGCTCTGTCAGAACTCTGTGGGGAAAAGGGGTGAGTGAGCATTTCTTGGGCCTGGATTGCAATACCATCTACTAACTCTTACGCACTCTTAGTTTATATTTGGGGGTTGATGAGAGAACCTGAACATGTTCCCTTTACTACATTAT